CACTGGAGCCACAGCTTCAAGTCTGAATTCATCAGGAAGCCAGTGAAATCCCCGCAGAGCATCTTTACATCTTTTGTGATAACAGCCTCCAAGCCTGGCTAAAAAGCAAGCTCTTTCTGCAGCGTGGAACTGAAAGGGCCGGAGTGGGTGAGACTGGCTCGCTGAGGAGAGCAGTGCAGTTCTTAAATAAAGACACTCCTTTCAGATAAGAGAATCAGATTCCCAGAGCCGCTTGCTGGCTACCCTTTCTTTGAACCCTCATATTTAACCCAGCAGGCTTCAAGGCAGGTGAGAAAATGACCTACCACTTAAAAGCAATTTTTCCTTTTTCAGGAATCCTGGCCTTGGAGACTATCAGCTCTGGTATCAGTACATTCCACATCTTCGGGGATTTATGCAACCTTTTCATTGCTCTGTGCATAATGTCAGATGAGGTTTTCATCTCAGTCTGGAGAAAATATCCTAACTTGCTGAAAACTAAGTCTGATTCCACATAGCTTTATACCATGAAAAAGGGGAGAGGGTGCTAAAACCAGTAATCATTCTAGCTCATTCATCCTCGTCCATTTCTTTAAATTTGATACACAGTGAGAATTTTAAAAATCATTAATCTTAGGGCTGGGAATGTAGCTCAGTTTGTAGAGAGCTAGTTTGCCATGTTCAAAGCCCTAAGAACTCAAGGTCATCCTTAACTACATAGTGAATTCCAGAACACCTGCTATACACAACACCTTGCCTCAAAAATAAAAAACCCCAAGTCATTAATCTCCAGTGCCTGGCGTTATAAAAACACATTTTTGTAATAAATGTATCTTAAGAAATTCAAATAGAATTTGCTTTAACATGTGAGCTAAAACAAAGAGATACAAGAGAAAGAAGATGAAATGGTAATAACAAAATATTTATATTTGGTCACACATGGTGACACGTGCCTACAGCCATGGATACTCTGAAGACAGGTCTGGGGATCACCTGAGCCCATGAGTTTGTGACCCACCCTGGCAACAAAGTGAGACCCATCTCTAAAAACAACAAAAGGGGGGGAGCAGTAATGGGGTAGGAAGATGAAGAGATAATAATAATTTGATAAGTTTTCTTAAGTGGCTTTGCCTTATTAAGAAGTAGGAAAAGAATATTTCATCAGTTTCTACTTTATATTGTCATTATAGATCTGAGCCAACTGAAAAATCCTTACACAGTTTACAACATGCCAAAACGTTCTGTTCTACAAACCAGTTTGCCAGTACCAGGAAATGGAAACATTTTTCCTCTTTTTGTGGTTCACGCACACATGATGTATCAATTGCATAATTTAATTATTTAAATGACATCCATCTATCACTTATACCTCAACTACTGTGGAAAAACTCACTGTGAGCTTATTATGATCTTCCAAATGTAAAGAGAGAGGTTTTTCCACTGTAGCCCCTCTTTAGTGTGACAATGATGACAATGAGAGGAACAGTATCCACTTACTTCTTACTGTGGAAAAACATAGCTCTAAACACTTGATATATATCAAACTCTTTTGCCCCCAACACAAACTATGTAGTACTACTTCTCACTTTACAGCTAAGTGAGAAGACTGCCTAACTTATGTGAGACTGCAAGACAGTTAAGTGTCAGGGCTGGGTCCAAAGCAAAGCAGGTTGGTTCCAGAGTGTTGCTCATCACCACTCTGTAATGCTGCCCCTTCTCCATCCACTCCGGTAAGGCAGCCCACTAACCTCATATGGATACAGGGATATGGATATTTAAATATGCATGTAGAATAAGGAAGGCGCAGACTCTAATTCAGGAGGTCTGCAGTAAAGCCTGAAGCTGTGCATGTTTAACAAACTAGAGGAGGGTGGTGTTCCTAGTGTACAGAACATACTTTATGAAGTGGTGGAGTGTTATAGGATAGAATATTTGTTTAACTATGCAAAGATGTACTGCATTCGTCTAACTATGTAAAGATGTGCTGCTGTTTTCCCTTACCTGCCTAAAGTACCTGATTGGTCTAATAAAAAGCTGAACAACCACCGGGCGGTGGTGGCGCACACCTTTAATCCCAGCACTCAGAAGGCAAAGGCAGGCGGATCTCTGTGAGTTCGAGGCCAGCCTGGTCTAGAAGAGCTAGTGCCAGGACAGGAACCAAAAAGCTACAGAGAAACCCTGTCTCGAAAAAAAAAAAAAAAAGCTGAACAACCAATAGTTAGGCAAAGGAGGGGTAGGTAGGGCTGGCAGGAAAGGAGTCAGCCAGCCAGCCATGGAGGAAGCAGAATGGACAGTACAGTATATAAGATAAATGAGCCTCAGAGCAGCATATAAATAAATAGAAATGGGTTAATTTAAGCTAAAAAAAAAAAAAACTAGGTAGAAATAAGCCTAAGCTGAGGCCGAGCATTCATAATTAACAATAAATCTCCGTGTCATGATTTGAGGGCTGGTGGCCCAAGAAAGCTGGCTACAGTGAAGAACTATAGTAGGAGCCTCAGCTCTCTTCTGCATGTCTGCTGTCAAAGCATTTAAGCATTGTATATTATAAGGGCAGACTGCCTATTCACATCCATTTTCCATTAGCTTTTCCACGGGACCTGTCTTTGGAAAAACTGCATGCCACAGACTGAGGCACAGGTCCCATGTAAGTATGTGGCTTTTAGAAATTGAAAACACACATGTAAGAGCCTTAGGGATAAAATGTGACTATAAAAGTTCACTTTTAGCAGTTTTTTAAATATTATATATACCAACTATACAAATATAGTATATAAATGTTTATTGTTCATCAAGTAGAATAATAATATATTAGTAACTTTTGGTAAATAAAAAGAGAAAAGTCTACTTTAAACTATTTAATTCTTCATTCTCAAGTCTCTACTAGGAGTGCTGAGGAACCTTAAGGTTCTTCCGGAGGCACTAGTGAGCTAGCTCTTCAGCGAAGGCAGGTACTGTATGAACACTGATGGATAGAGACTAGAGTCCACTCCACAGTCATCTGGGACTTCAGGGGAATACACTGGTGTGCTACATCTCTATTCTAGATTCCGCTCTCTCTGCTCTCCTGCTCTAGTCTTCTTCCTTCCTACACCACTGTCTTGAGAAAAACTCAGGAACCATCTCTCATTGCCTGTCTGTATTTTAAAAACATGAATTAAAGGCCTCCCCACTTCTTTTTCTTCTTCTCTTCTAGCTTTTAACTGGCTAGGATTCCCTTTCTGCTCCATTTCCCATGCTCCGCACACGGTGAGGCATGAGAGTTTGAGGTGCACTCATTCCCACCAGCACCACTGTAATCAACAGGAAAATCTATTACTAAGCTTCCTTCCTGCACGAAGAGGAAATGGAATGGTCAGTCTGCACCTCACACATCTGCACTCCCAGAGCAGCAGTGGGAAGTCATTCCTTTTGGAGATTGCCTCAAACTCAAATGCATACTCAGACTCCTAGGCTTACAGCCAGTGGCATCTTAACACATTATATTGTTGACCTTCAGGGAAAATGGGGAATGAGCCAGTGTCCATAGCATGGGTGCCATAAGAGCTAACTAATCTGTATGGCACAAAATAAACTGTTTGTTTGTTTGTTTCAAGACAGGGTTTCTCTGTGTAGCCCTAACTGTCCTGGAACTTGTTCTGTAGACCAGGTTGGCCTAAAAAATCCCAAAGATCTGCCTGCCTCTGCTTTCCAAGTGCTAGGATTAATGGTATGTGCCACCACTGTTGGCTAAAATAAACTGTGAGAAAAACAAGTAGTTATAATGGAAGCACATAGACAGAAAATATACTACCAAGTAAACTGACTCTTCTATGACTCTCAGTGCATGTCTTATGTTTGAGAATACAATAAAACAATACTTTCTTTATTTGGTGAATATGCTATGACATAAAAGGGATTTGCATTTTTATTTATTTGCTTATGCTTAATTTATTACTATTGTGCTTATATAACGGGAGAGGCACATGTATCATTACATGTACGAAGGTCAGAGCACAACTTTGTAGACTTGGTTCTCTCCTTCTACCTTTATGTGAATTTGAATTTAGATTACTTAGATTAGGCTTAGCAACAAGTACTTTACCTGTTGAACCATCTTGCCAACCCCCAAGAAATGTGCACTTTTAAAATAAAAATTATTAAAAAAAATATTTGGTGATATTAATATATCTGTGTGGAGGAATGAAAAGGTACCATTTTAGTATCAGTCATCAGCCAGACAATGGTGGCATAGACAATGGTGGCATGTGCCTGTAATCCCAGCACTGGGGAGGCAGAGGCAGAGGCAGGCAGACCTCTGTGAATTTGAAGCCAGCCTGGGTCTACAGAGTGAGTTCCAGAACAGCTAGGACTACATAGAGAGTCCCTGCCTCAAAACAAACAAACAAACAAGTCCTCTGTCAGGAAATAGGGATGGAATTCAAAATTAAAGGGCTAAAATTAAAATAAAGGTTGACATATAGTTTTATACTTAAGACTGGAAAAAGTCAATAAAAGGATGCAGATACAAAAACTGGGAGAATCTTTGAGCAAAGAAGCATATTCTACATGCAGAACAAGGGTCCCACCTGTGTGTGCCTTCTATATCCTTATTCTCTACCACAGTTTTACTCTGGAGTTAAAAATTAGCAAATATTGTGAACTCGTGGCATCATTTAAATGGAAAAATCAAAAGGTTTGTTCACAAAATTAGTAGTTTTAAATACCAAAGAAAACACACTAAAGATAAAGAAAAATTGGATTACTCTTTAGTTGGTAAGGAATGCTGTCTTAACCACCAAAAGTAATTACAAAGGCCAACTTTGTAATGTTATAGCATTGTATTCTTAAACTTTTAAGTAACAGAAGTAGTTCACACGGCCAGAATTCACGGTTGACGTTTATGGTGGGAGCATTACAGCGCAGTTCTCGCCGTTTCCGAGCATCTTTCATGGTTCGTGTAGGTCAGCACAGACAGACCAGAGAGGCTTTCCCGTGCTGTGTTATAAATACTCCACACAAGTCCTTGAGATCATACTCACGGCTTTAGCAAAGACACCCATGACTTCAGGGAACTGGTGCGTGAGAAACGCTATCATTGCTGTAGAAGAACAGAGTCCTGCTGTAAAGTGGATGAAGAAAGGAAGCTCCTTTTTTGGATAAACAGAAACATGATGAAAAGCTGCAAGGAAAAATTGTTAAGAGTGAGTTTTATTTCAGCACAAGCCAATTTTAATATTTTTAAGTTAAACCTAGCTTTGAAAATTAAAAGTGTGGCTAAAGGGAAGTAGAAAAGACAAGATCTCCTGAGTAAATTGGGAGCATGGGGACCTTGGGAGAAGTTGAAAGGGAGAGGCAGGAAGGGGAGCAAAGAAAAATGTAGAGCTCAATAAAAATCAATAAAAAATATTTTTAAAATGTGGTTAAAAAAATAACAAGAACAAAGGCAAGAGAAAGCTCTTCAGTATATCTGCATAGTCAGGTGACCGTATTGGGGTCTGGGAACAGGAGGGCATCGTGGGAAAGAACGTGAACTATAAAGTCATGCTGGGTGGTTTTGAAAAAGAGCCTTGTCGCTTATTAGCTTGCTCTAAACCCTGTAGAAGTTGCTATGGAGCTGTTATGAAGAACAGTGTAAGCACTTAATAAATGTGAGTTGTTATTAATTCTTGCTCGTTGAAAGCTCAGCAAGTAGTGTAGAGATAAAGAGATAGACATGTCTTGGGGAATTTCCCAGAATCATTGCTTAATATATTATTTTACTCAATTATTACTATGTTCCATGCATGACAGTTCACCAACTGCTATGGAAACAGAACTAAGAAGCCAAGGCTCCGGCCATAGTTGAAGTTCTTTGCCTTATTTTATCACATTTATATATTTGAGTATTATTTTTCTGATGTTTGTCTCATTTCTCATTATCAATTTTATTCAAGTACTTAGATATTATTCAGACTACTTGGATGATAAATGATCTAGAGCGAAACCTATCCGCGTGCCCAATGCACAGTAGGTGCTCAGTAAATTCCTTTTAGACGAGAGCTATGCGAAGACTTCATTAGTCAGGAAGTTGACTGCTAGGACACCAACCTAGGAATTCCTGATGTAATATCCTGCAGCAGTAAGGAATGACTAATTCCATGCTGAACCAAGGTCAGCTATAAATTTCAATTTTTAAAAACATAACTATTAACAGAGAAGGTTATACCCAAGTTTCCTTCAATAGCCACAATATTTTATATATCTTATACTATACCCAGAAAGTACATATAAAAAAAAACCTAAATTCATCTTAAAAATTCAGATTTCCAGAGTCTCCAGCCATACTTCATGTAAAAGCACAATAGCACTCAACTTGGTAAAAGCTAAAAAGCATTAAAAGCTGTCAGTGTTGCTCTTTCAGCACCAGACAACCAGCAATCCCTTCTGCTCAGTCCCTCATCCATGAGTGGATGACTACTTCCAGCAAACAGAGAAACAAACTCTGGAATTTCAGAAGGTGGGGAATAACACAATAAAATTAGTATTAACTAAACCCTAAAGCATTTATGGTTTTTAAAGTTCTCATTTAATTGTTGAAATAACCTGAAGATAGGTAGTATTGTTTTCATTTTACAATAGAAAGACTGCACAGCTTTAGTAACAAAACTTCCTAAAATATGAGACTTTTATATTGTAGGAGAGACCTAATTATTTCTTTTTGGATTACTCTGTAGATTCACTTGTCAGTCAATGTTTGGCTAATACATCAATATAATGGATGACTGACTAGTACAGAAACACTCCCTTGGAACAAAAGTTCAAATTTCATCACTGGCTTGTAAAGAAAAATTTATCAGGAGGCATAAAAGACGACAAAATAGCTATATGAACTAGGGGGAATAGTTCAACTTTCCACTTATGAGTCTATAAGCAAATTCCAGAAAGCTGTAAGTCATATCAAGGCTGAAGGAGAATTAAAAACAAAAACCATTAAGTACTCCTGGGTATTAGAACTCCACATTATTAAAAATTTGTTCATTCCACCAGTCAGAAACAGAAAAATATACTGTAAGAACATATACTATAATCAAACACACCCTCCAGCATATCCCTCTGTGTCTGTGTCCTGGAGCTTTGTACCCTGTATGGAGTTAAGACTTAATGAAGGCTCATCAAAAAAACCTAACTGGGGTCTGGAGAGATGATTCAGTGGTTAAGAGCACTGGCTACTCTCCCAAAGGACCCAGGTTTAATTCCCAGCACCCACTCTGCATCTCACAACCATCTGTAACTCCGTTTCCAGAGGATCTGATGTCCTCTTCTGGCCTCTTCAGGAATAGGACATGCATGAAGACATATATACAGCCAAACACCCATATACATGAAAAATAAATTAAGATTTTAAAAATCTATGTTAAAAAAACTCTATGTGATCTTGTAGCTCCTGGTTCTGGTATAAGAAATATTAATATGTAGTCTAGGGAGATACCTCAATATGTAGGCTAGGGAGATACCTCAATATGTAGGCTAGGGAGATGCCTCAGTAGTTAAGAACAATGACTGCTTTCAAAAGGACCCAGGTTCAATTCCCAGCACTCATATGGCAGCTCACAACTGACTGTAACTCCAGTTTCAGGGGATCTGATGCCCTCATACATATATACATACAGGCAAAACACCAATGCATACGAAATAAAAATAAATAAATCATTAAAAAAGAAATACTAATTCTTTTAGTAAAAATGTACTATCTTATTACAATGAAAATTTTTGTTATTACACTGTATTTTTGGAGACAAGGCCTTGCTATATGTAGCCTAGACTGGTCTCAAACTCACATACCTCGCTCTTCCTCAGTCTCCCAAAGGCTAGATAAGATTATAGACATGTGCTACCATGCCCAGGTATACACTTGTGTATTGATTGACTTAAAAATTGATTTCTTGACCTTAAAAATATCTGTTCCTTTTTAAATGGAAAAATAACAGTTAGGAAAAATAATAGTTAACCCCACCTTAAGTAGGCAAATGCAATTTCTCTCACTAATGACCTCCCAATTGCCAAAGTCAATAGATTCTTCTTAGTAATTGCCTGTCCTGGTATCTCAGCGGCGACTCCTCACTGGGACTTTTCTTCTCCTTAGTTACTAGGATATCTAGTTCTTGTCTCTGACTACTCCTCCACTAGATTTTCATTTGCTTTCTTGCCATTAGCTCCTTAGAAAATTTTATGCCCTCTTGGTTCTACCCTATACGACACAGTACTCCCTTGTAATCTTAGCCTTGTAAAGGACTCCTTTGGTTACCTAGAAATGAAACTCCTTAGTCTCTTTTGTGAGACTGAGAAAGAAATGTCAGGGACCCTGTCAATTCTATTCAAATAAGCTGAGCTTGTTTCTAGTATACAGCTAACTGGATTAGGCACAAACACAGAGGTAAAACACAAGCTCTCTGAGAGCTGTGGGGCTGGTGTGGTGGCTGAGTAAAATTCTTGCTGTGCAAGCATGAGCACCTGAGTTCACAGCTCCAGGGCCCACGGAAAAACCCAAATGCCACATGCCGATAATTCTAGAGTTAGCAAGTCACAGTCAGGCAGATCTGTGGTGCCCACTAGCCAGGCAGCTTAGGTGAATTTGAGATCCAGATTTAGTGAAAGACCTTGTTGAAAAAATAAGATGGAAACCATCAAACAGGACATTCAATGTTGACCTCTGACCTCCACATGCACATGCATACAACAATGTGAACACATACACACACAAAGAAGCTGGAGAGATGGGTCAGCAGTTATGAGTGCTGCTCTTGCAGAGGGCCTGAGTTCACAGCAGCCACGCAGCTCACAACTTCCTGTATACACTCTAGCATCCTTTTTTAGCTTCTGTGGGCATCTGTACACACATGTGTACAAACACAGACAAATAAAAATATAATAAAAAATTTAAAGTAGAAAACACCTTTTGTGTGTTTTTTCCAAAAATCCATGTGTTAGAAATTTGGGCCCTCGGGTGGCACAATTATGAAGTGGAACCTTTAAGAGTTGGGTCTAGTAGAAGGACCTTGGGCCAATAGAAGGGATTGTGGGAAGCAAGCTTGCCTCCCTCCCTCCCTCCCTCCCTCGGTCCCTCTCTCCTTCTTTCCTTCCCCTCCCTCTTTCTGATTCAAGACAGAATCACTTGCTTATTTGCACGTATGCTTCTGCCCTTGCTATGCACTTTACTGGCTGATCTGCCAAGGGGCAGTCCCTACTCAGAGCCTGAGCTTTGCTTTGTACATTCTGAACCTCTAAAACCCAAGTTTAATAATCTTTTTTCACAAACCCTGCATCATGTATTTCATTACAGTAACAAAAAGGCAACTAATACGGCATGCCCATCTTTAATACCAGCACTCAGAGGCAGAGGAATCTCTGTGAGCTCAAGGCTTCTGTGATCTACATAGTGATTTCCAGGGCAGGGATACACAGTTAGACACTCTCTTAAAGAAAACAAACAAACAAACAAGCAACAACAACAAAACAATCCCAACACACACACACACACACACACACACACACGAAACTAACAAAAAGGTGACTAACACAGAAACCAATCTAAAAATAACCTAAGCAATTACTTGTAAGTTGAATAAAACAGAAGTATTTACTTACTCGGCAATAGCTCTCTATCAGCGGTCTCTGTGCAGCTGGGATAAGGGTAAAAGAGATGTCCCTTCTCTAATGGGTATGGAATCATTCTAAAAGCTGAAAAGAAAAATACATTAGCATTCAATTTTATCTCACTCATCTATGCTATAAATCAAACCTATTCTGCAGACATATTTTTATAACTTTTTCACAAAGCATTTTATCTTCTTTTTTGGAGAGACATTTTAGATGAAACAAAAATGAGCAGAAGAGCACATGAGCGCATGGGGAAAGACTAAGATTTACTAAGAGAAGAGCGAGTGGTCTAGTGTGAGCCTAAATGGAATGAATGCTAGAAAACAACATCAGCCGAGGCCTCTTTGTCTCGGTCTCCTCATCACAGTCAGGGCCTCAACTCCACTACTATAAATCCTGCTTCCTTAAGAATCTTCAAGAAATAGTACTGAGGGCTGGAGAGATGGCTCAGCGGTTAAGGGCATTGCCTGCTCTTTCAAAGGTCCTGAGTTCAATTCCCGGCAACCACATGGTGGCTCACAACCATCTGTAATGGGGTCTGGTGCCCTCTTCTGACCTGCAGGCATACACGCAGACAGAATATTGTATACATAATAAATAAATAATATCTAAAAAAAAAAGAAATAGTACATGAGTATACTTGTGCTCTCAAGCTACAAGAGTTCTGCTGGCTTAGTACTCTACCGATGAGGCTCACCAAAGTCTTCTACAAGAATGCATAGTCTCATACCCACACACATAAAATAAAATAAATTAAAAAAAAAAGACTATTCAGATCTGCTTCAGGGATCATGAAAGTCATTATTTGCCCAGTGTCATTCAACAATCAGTGCTCACGTAAGGAAGGAAGTCATTTATCAAGATGCATGGAATGTAGCATACATTATACACTTGGTGAAAACCCCTCCAGGGCCAAGCAGAATACCAGGTAATAGACACATACGTGAAATGAATGAGAAAGTCCCTGGCTTTGAACACCTGATAATCAGCTAAAAGAAGCCTAACTATTCAAAAGCATTCAATACGAAATTTCAATTTGATTTAGTTCTCTATTGTCAAGCACAGTATGGTTGTTGTTAATAAGTGGTTATACAGATTTCCAAACTCTTGGTGCACAGATAATGATGTCCTCATGTCTTACTGATGATGGTGGTGGCAGTGGTTATTAAATGCAGGGTCCCAAGCACACTAAACTTGTATTCTACCTTGGGGCCTTAGTAAATATGACTTACTAATTAGTGGGTCCAAACAGTTCTAAGAACTCAGAAATTTGAGAAAATATACATAAATTGAAAAGTTTGATTCTTACTTCATTTTAAAGTAAACCTAATTTCAACAGGCTGTGGTGTTTGAACCTGTAGTACCAGCTACTCAGGAGACCAAAGCAGGAGGATTGCATGAGTTCGAGTTCAGTGCTGACCTGAATGGCAACATGAAGATATCCATCTTAAAACATTTCTTACGAATGAGCTATAATTAGGAACCTTTGGGACACTGCACACTTTCTCTACCTTGGGACTGGATCATCATCATCATCATCATCATCATCATCATCATTTCCTGCCCCACAATGATTTCTGTCATGTTGTTTCTTTTAGTCATAGCATCTAACAAAACAAAACTGCCGAATTATGAAGACACTATACATATGCTGAAACTGAATTCTACTTGGAGTTAACGATTTAAGTGGTATCTGGCAGATGTTGAGTGCTTCCATTAAAAATATATAATAATGGTACAGGCAGTGGTGATGCACACCTTTAATACCAGCACTCAGAAGGTAGAGACAGGTGAATCTCTGTGAGTTCGAGGCCAGCCTGGTCTACAAGAGCTAGTTCCAGGACAGGCACCAAAGCTACAGAGAAACCCTGTCTCAAAAAACCCAATACACACACACACACACACACACACACACACACACACACACACACACACAATAACATAGAACAATCAGTAGAACTGTCTTCTGGGAGTGACCTTCAGTAGTCTACCTCTGGGAGCTAGCATTGTCCACTGGCATGGTAAAGAGGGAAAGGAAGAAGGGTCTTTGCTAGCATTTCACATCTAGAAGACAGTTTTAAGTTATGACCATAGGTTTATATGTGCAGTTTTCCTAAAGTACTTGTGTCTTCTCTGCACAATGTTCATGATTTTAGCACACCTAAGGTTAATAGATATTACTGAATGACAATGCATGGGTCAAAAGACAAAAAGTACAGCAATTAATTAGCTAGTCTCTTTGTTATAATGCAAATAAACACATTTTAGATAAAGAATAACGGTCTAGAGCAGCCAGAGCAACAGTGAGAGCCTGTCTCAAAGAAAAGAAGAAGGGGGAAGGGCAATTACACTGTAAATGGTAAGCCAGTCAGACAGTCAGAGTGGGACTGTCTCAAAAGAAAAAAACCAAAGCAAAACCCAGACAAAAAAAAGCAAAATACTGACACATACTACAACACAGATGAACATTGTCAATATTATGCCAAATAAGTGAAATCCAAAAAGATAATTACTGTGTAACTACACTATATGAAGTACCTAAACTCATGAGTCAGAACTATGAACACTGAAAGGGTCCAGAAAGGTGAGAATGAAGAATATTATGTGTGGGCTAGAGAAAGCCCAGTGGTTAAGAGTACTGACTGCTCTCCCAGAGGACCCAGGTTCCGTTCTCAGCACCCATATGGCAGCTCACATCTGTATGTAACTAAGGTTCCAAGGATCTAACACCCTTACACAGACATGAATGCAGACAAAACATCAATGCACATAAAATTAAATTAAATTAAATCTTAAAAAGAAGATATTATGTGAATTTCAGTTTGGTAAGATGAAAGGTTCTGGAAATGAAAGTTGATGGCAGGTGCTCAATAATGTGACCACACACAACACTCCTGAACTGGATTCAGACAGCTACAGTGGTAAATTGTATGTAAAGAATGTTTCACCACATTCACAGCCTAAAGCCAGGTGTGGTGGTCCAGGCTTACAGTTGTAGCACTTGGGAGGTGGTAGCAGGAATCAGAAATTTAAGATCATCCTCAGCTACACAGTGAGCTTGAGGCCTGCCTGAACCGCACGAGACACTGAGGGGGAGAGGAAACCAACAGAGCTGCTGCGCTGACCGTCAACTCGACCTAAACCGATCACCGGAGAAGAGAGAACCCCAACTGAGGAACTGCCTCCACCAGACTGGCCAATGGGCATGTTCACAGGACACTGTCACAATTGCTAATTGAGGTAGGGGAGCCTAACCCACTGTGGGTGGTGACCCTGGGCATGTGGGTCTGTGCTATCTAATACAGCAAGCTGAACAAGCCAATAAAATGTTCCTTTCTATGGTTCTGCCTTGAGTTTCTGCTTTGGCTCCCTCAATGACAGATTGTAAACTATAGAATAAAAGTTGCTACTGGCCATAGTGTTTATCACAGTGACAGAAAAAAAACCAGAACAACTGTTGTAACACAGTTGAAAACAAAACAACAACAACAAACCAGACCATTTCTTATTTTTATACTGTAAAATTTATTTAATTTTATGTGAATGAATGTTTTGCCTGCATGTACATATGCGCATCACTGTGTGTCTGGTGCCACTGGAGGTCAGAAGAGGGCAATGAATCCCCTAGAACTGGAGTTCAGAAGGTTGTGGTCACCATGTGGATGCTGGGAAACAAACTCGGGTTCTCTCCAAGAGCAACAAGTGCTATAACTGAGACATGTTTCCTGTTCATAAACCAGGTTTTTCATTCGTTCGTTTATTCTTCCTTCCTTCCTTTTTTCCTTCCTTCCTTCTCCCTTTCTCTCTCTCTCTCTCCCTCTCTCTCTCTCTCTCTCTCTTTATTTCTTTTTGTTTGTTTTTTAGTTTTAGAACAGGGCTGGGTGTACACCTCAATGATACAACATATGCTATTAGTATAATCAGGCTTTGGTTTCAACCTTCCTTACCTCATCACAAAAACTAAATGAAACTAACAAACCAAATAACTAAAGTAACAAAACTTAATCACATTAATAAAGCTTATAAGCTAAAAGGCATACATTTTCATTTTCTCTCACTACAATACTCAACTTTAGCAAAATATCCTAAGAGTTCCTCTATCTGCTTTTTCTAAAGTGACCTCAATATATTTCAAATTATTTCTTTTTTTTAATATTTATTTATTTATTTATTATGTATACAATATTCTGTCTGTGTGTGTGTCTGCAGGTCAGAAGAGAGCACCAGAACTCATTACAGATGGTTGTGAGCCACCATGTGGTTGCTGGGAATTGAACTCAGGACCTTTGGAAGAGCAGGCAATGCTCTTAACCACTGAGCCATCTCTCCAGCCCCTCAAATTATTTCTTCTACCAAATATAATGCCACAAAAAATCATTTGAAACTACTTCAAGTCCTGAAACTCACACAATCATTTGAAAAGACTGCATGTGGATGCAATAAACATTAAGAGAGATTAGCATTACATCTGGCCAAGAACACTTACTGCCTTCCCACGTACACTGCAAGAGGTTCAGAGCACCTTCTATCCGTTTCCAGTGCTGCAGATGAAAGAAAGCATAGGCAATTGCCTCACTATCTCCTCGCTTCAGGATGTGTTCCGGAGGTAAAATTAAACTTTTCATCTCTAGTAAGTACTGCAAAAACAACACATGCACACCAAGAAATTAAATTGTGTTAAGTGCAAACATCCACAAACATTTGTAAATGTTACAAATTGGTTTAAAGGCACACACACATTAAACTAGTTAAAATAACATGCAATTCCAACTGAAAACTTGTTTAAAGTACTTGTTATACTTGTAAATTTCCAAAATGAGAATTTCCTATAGGTAAAAACAAATTGACAAACAGCTTATGTGACCTTGCAAAATCTAAAATGGAAAGTTAAATTGAGGAAATAATGTGAGAAAATACTTTCCAAAAAAAACCCCAAATAAACATAAAATCATAAAATACAACTTAGTGAAAGTACTTTGTGGCATCATTCAATTCTGTTTTCTTTTATTCCTATTTAATGGGTAGAAAACTTAACTGTGGGGTAAAATCAATTCATTTATATTCACTAAGTACAAGACAATATGCTCACTACGGAACACCAAAAACCCCTCATATTGTAATGAGAAAAACAGATTTCTTAAGTAAATGATTATAATCAGATTGTGGTAGGGCCCTTAAAAATTACAAAGCAATAGGAAATACTAATTTTGTCTTGTTTTTTTTAAAATATTTATTTATTTATTAAGTATACAACATTCTGTCTGTGTGTATGCCAGCAGGCCAGAAGAGGGCACCAGACTCCATTACAGATGGTTGTGAGCCACCATATGGTTGCTGGGAATTGAACTCAGGACCTTCGGAAGAGCAGGCAATGCTCTTAACCTCTGAGCCATCTCTCCAGCCCCTAATTTTGTCTTGTTTTTAAAACAGCTTTGTTGAGATATAATTCACATAACATAGAGTTAGATTATTTGAGAACTCAGTGGTTTTTATTATATTAAAAAAAGTGCATCCACCACCGCAGTCAGTGTGTACACATACATCACCCGAGGGACTCTGGACCCTCTGACACCATTCGGTCCACTCCTCATGTCTCATTCCTCTGAGCCAAGCGCTAATCCCTCATATTATCATAATACTGTTAGAATATATTATATGATATCTGTGGAAACGTGTGACTAGTTTCTTTCACTAAGCAGTTTGGAGGTTCATCTAAGTCACAACACATAGTGGTACCCCCATTTCTCTTTAGAGTCAAATAACAGTCCTCATAAATACACCATGTTTACTTATCCAGTCATTAGCTGTTAGACATGTGCCCTTTCTACATTTTGGCTTTTAGAAAGAATAATTCAGGGCTGGGGACATAGAGTGCTTGCCTGGTATGCATGAAGCCCTGGGTTTGATACCTAGCACGTAAAACAAAGATGGTGGTGCACACCTGTAGTCCTAATACTCAGGAGGTAGAGGCAGAAGGGTCAGAGATCAAGGCCATCCTTGACTACACTGTAAGTTCAAGGCCAGGGTGGCCTACATAAGAACCTGTCTCAAAAACAAAACAAAACAAAAACCAGAAAAAGCAAGCAAGCAAGAAACAAAAGCAAATGGTAATATAATATACTTTAACAAATATTTATACACAAGCTTTGGTATAAATCAGTTTCATTTCTCTTGAGTAGACACCTTGGGATGGTAATGCTGAGATGTACAATAAGTATATGTTGATCTGAGTTGATATTTAAAGAGGATCAGAATGAGGATAATTACACTGGGAGTGAGCAGATGTCAGAACAGAAGATACATTCAAAGCACAGGCCCAACGAAAGCAAGGGAGGATCTTAGAAATAAAAAAGTAAAGATTTCAAATCCTTAAGCCTTAGCAATTAATCTAACATATTCATTGTACCAATACATCTGGAATGATATTTCTTTGTTTATGAAGTGCGTCTCTCCATGCATCACTAAGATCACTGCCCATCTTCAATTACTCCTACTCCTGATGTCTCTGGCTCCTCAAAGTGTAAGTAGGCAGTTTGCTCATCAATTTATTTTAGCAGATGTCACAAACTATGAGATTATTTACTAATCCAATTTGGGTACTTAACGTTTCCCATTCAGTTTCTTAAAAGGAATGCAGCAGAGGTTGCCTCCTGGTCAGGCAAAGCCCATTTGCTGCCTGGTTGGGTTCTCTCTCCTCAGTGCCCTGGGCCTGTATTCAGGCGGGTAATATTCTTTCTAATCCTCTCTAATCCTGGCCCATTTTTTTGAAACACAGTAAAAGATCACTCACACCAGGCGGCTGTGGGAAAATGGACTCCAATGGCTGACCTCTGACACGATTCCTCATGCTCCTTGCAAGTGCACTAAGAGCTTCTTCAGGAGGAAGCTCAGTGTTATCACAGTGGGAGAGCATCGTCAGACCAGTGTCGCAGATACAGAGGAAAACTTTAATTCTTAAATCACGTCCTTTCTACTAAAACTCTAACTTAGAAATGCGGGGTTCGGGGGAAAGCCCCACTCATTTTCACTTAGAATGTGAAAGCTTTACACAAAGTAAAGTGGTATTTACTGTTTGGGACTATGTAGGCAGAAAGCACATCAATTGAATATGTCCAGAAAACACTTGTTTGTCAATGCACACAGTACATAAATAAATATGGCACATTTAATAGGAAATGATAATTCATAATTTTAAAATACGATTTGTATTTTGTTTTGGTTTGGAGTCAGTGCTGGAACTCAGGCTGCCAAGCACACTGCATAATAACACTTAACCACTGAGCTAATGTCCTTTTCAAATTGACTTTAAAGCAAAATATTTTTTTCAATTTCTACTAAGGTAAAATTTGGTCCTAAAATATAAGAAAAAATTCGGTTTTTAAAAAAGTACCTGTGCTAGAGAGTTAGGTCAGTGGTTAAAGCACTTACTGCTTTCAAAGGTCTTGGGTTTGGTTCCCAGCACCCACAGGGCAGCTCACAACCATCTATAACTTTAGTTCCAGGGGATCCAAGGCTCTGTTTTAGTCTTTGTGGATATCAGGAACGCACATGATGCAATACATTCATACAGGAAAAACACTCATAAAATAAAAAGAATTTTTTTAAATATTTATTTATTATGTGTACACTATTCTGTCTGTGTATATGCCTGCAGGCTAGAAGAGGGAACCAGACTGCATTACAGATGGTTGTGAGCCACCATGTGGTTGCTGGGAATTGAACTCAGGACCTTTGGAAAAGCAGGCAATGCTCTTAACCACTGAGCTGTCTCTCCAGCCCCAATAAACAGAATTTTTTTTGTATCTATACTTAGTGGATCTTGGGGACAGCTCAATATAGGGCATGTCCTCAACACATTCCAAGCCTTGGCTTCAGTCCCTAGCATAAATACACAAAAGTGCATTTAAAATAAGATATAACATTATTCCAATACTCATTTTATGTCCTTCAGAAATTGCTGTTCAGGCGTTTCTGTTACCAGTGTAGACTTTAAGTTAATGAACAACACAAACTCTACCCTACAGACTCTCTGCATGACCTAGTGCAGTCTACCACCTAAAACAGTCCTGAAATAAGCTGATATACACAACAAATGTCTTCAGATTCGTCCATCAGTTTTTACTTGGACACTTCTATAAGGGACTGTGTGTGCAAGCACACAAGTGAGACCGTGGAGGCTAGCGCCAATGCTACATGTTGTCTTCTGTTGCTCCCGGTTTTCAAAACTCTCTTAATTGTTGTACTTATTATTATGATGATGATGATTAGGCAATAGTAATAGTAGTAGCAGATCTCCTGAGTAAATTGGGAGCAAGTGTCTTTCCCCACTGAGACATGCTGCAGGTTCTAGAATACTACTTTTCATTCAGTCTCACCCTAGTTTTCAGGACCTTCTGTCTGAAATGTAACATGAATTATCTAATCCAATTTTCAGTAGTCCTCATTTCCCTCTGAAACTCCCCAACACTGGCCTTTACTGTATGCATCTCTAGTGCTCTGATCTTCTGAACCCCTACCAGGGAGGCCCATTAAGCTCCAGGGCTTCTCTAGGTCACAGCTCTAAATTTTTCCACATTTTTCCTACAAACTAATTGTAAACATGTAGTCCTGTTTATCACAGCAATGACCCCATTGCTGGTTGTTACTGAAAGAAGCAAGTTAATGGAGGAGATGTATCTTGACTCTAGTATAAGATATATAATCTATTATTGTAAGGAAGGCAGTGGCCGGTATGGCTGGTCCAGTTGAGGCAGGAGATTGAGATATTACTAGTTGCATCTTGGAACAGGAAGGAGAGAGCCTGAGCTAAACACAAAGACAGCCTTGAACCCTGAAGCCCTATATTTGCCATCTAGACCAAAAGGTCCTATAACCTCCCAATGCAGTACCACCAGCTAGGAACCAAATGCTCAAATGCAAATACATGAGACATTCCATATTTAAGCCAGAACACATGCTTCAGCTTAGTAAACTAAAATAGACTTCTTTAAGACAAGGGGCCAGGTGGTGGCAGCTGCACGCGCCTTGGGAGACAGAGGCAGGCTTATCTCTCCTCAAGGTCAGCCTGGCCTACTGGGTGAGTTTCAGGACTGCCAAGGTTACATGGAGAAACCCAGTCTCAAAAAACCATTAAAAAAAAAATAGGACAGGGCTGGAGAGATGGCTCAGAGGTTAAGAGCACTGACTGTTCTTCCAGAGGTTCTGAGTTCAATTCCCAGCAACCACATGGTGGCTCACAACCATCTGTAATGAGATCTGGTGCCCTCTTCTGGCCTGCAGGGATATGTGCAGGAAGAACCCTGTATACATAATTAATAAATAAATCTTTAAAAAAAATAGGACAATGGGTGAACAAAAGCTTAGAGAATGGCAGATGGAGAAGAGAGTGGATATATATACAACAATAGGGAGATATAATAAGACACGACTAATCCAGGAACATTGACTTGAGATAAGAAGCAAAACAAGTGGTGCGAAGACTGTCAGTCAGACTGAAGAGTTCCCATTAGTGTAATACTAAAGGGTTGGTTCTCAGCCTGTAAAGAGCAGAGATTTCACAGAAGTCTTAGAGCGAAGTGAAATTTGCTAGTTGGGTAGAAAACTGGCAATACAGTAGAGAGGGGCCAATAGCAGGAAG